TATCAAATTAATATCAATCAAAATGATAATTGTAAAACCAACATTTCGGAATTTTTTGTTTAAGCATAAGTTCCTCAAATGAAGAAGACTGTTCATATCTATCTAGCACAGATTTGTGTGGAATTAACTCTCTAACATAATTGTACGTAACAATTTAAACTCTTTCAAGCTGTCAGTTCAACTTCAGAATTTGCATAAATTAGTAACACAAGTATTTGACACCTTATTAACAAAGCAAAATAGTTTCTTAACCATTCTTAATAAATGTAATGATACAAACATTTCGTAGAATTAATTTTAATACACATGCTTGCGTAATGTGAATTAAATATAGAAAAACACACTGAAGTAATTCATTAACCTAGTATACTTTTAGTCTGAATTGTCGTAAATGAATCAGTAAACATTTCATCGAATATGACGCTGTATAAAAGATGTGCCACTAAATATGCAATATTTCATATCTATTTTCTTATAACTCATTTGGTGGAAGGAGATGCAATAGAAACAATAGTAATTAAATATTTGCAGTGATATATCACAGGAATATATTGGCACATCATATGGCACTATATCTGATAAAATATTCACCGTGGCATTGGATGACATAAGATAGTGTTGGAAGTTATTTAAACAAAAATTCATTATAATGAATCAAATTTTATTTATAATTCGTTTATTTGCATATTATTCTGACTGTAGTAGAGTATTTCCTGCAACATGTCGCAGGTATTCATCGTGCAGAACCACATATAATATACTGTGGAGTTAAAAAGAAGGTTTACAAGTCATTTAGAAGAAATGCGATTCCTATTTGTTGTATTGACATAGAACTCACTCTTTGTTAATACAACCATAAAGAAAGAACTCATACATTTGATATTATTTGATGAAACAGTTACGTTTACTCACATTTACTTACAAATGAAATAAACTCCTTTGAAAATTTCTTCTTTTCAACTGTACATTGTAATAAATCTCCCATTCAGAAATTTAGCTAAAAATGTACAGAACTCGTCAAACACCAAAGATACATTGCAAACATATTTCTCCTTTCTATTTTTTTATATTTATATACAGTTGTGTAGAAAGAAATTTTATAAGTATACCATATATTCAAATCAGCCCAATTTATTTTCATAAATAGCTTTTTATCATACATGTGCATTGTTTAAATATCGCCTTTTTATCAAGTTTCTATGCTCTAAGTTCTTCGGCCATTTTCATCTACTGTCGATTCTTTGCATAATCACCGGTTACATTATCGTCGAATTTTCTTAAGCACATTCACATTTCTGTTACTTTTGTGAATGTGAACAATAGTAATGTGCACATTACGAACTACAGTTTGCAATTTTCCATAGTCCAAGTTCTGTAGTTCCATCTTCTGTACCGCCAAAAGTCTTGAAGTTTTGCCAGAACTTGATAATTTTGAGAAAATTCTTAAGCTCTTAATAGTGGCTGATGTCAATTGATGTGACACAATGCAGTTCCATTTTCCATTTCACATGAATTTAATGAAACTTCTTTAATAGCACATGCAGAATGATAGCATATCCTGCAAATGTGTAATAGATTGAACTTGGATACTTTAGCTGATCTAACTTAGCCAACTATAGTAACATTCACATCTGTTGCAAGTGGCTAACACCACTTAAATGCATCCTGTTCAGTCTTCTTCCTCGCTGTGATTCGCCATCTTCTGATTGCAACTTTTACTCAATAATGACTCACATTTTATCCAACATATGTTACGTAATTGGAAGAATAAGTACACATCTTTGCACTTCTATTCTTTGCGACTTCCATATGTTTTTTAACAGTGAAATTTAGGTAAGGATTTACAGCAGCTGCTTCCTGTATTTAGTCGTGGTTGTGTTTTCATTCATCAACTCGAGTCTTATCTATTTGAGCTACGTGAATCCAATCTTCACAGCTAATCGTGTCTTGTTCTATCTAACTTCTTATATAGGAAGATCATTTAGGCTTCTTCAGACAACACTTGTAACGATCAAACGATAGATCATTGACAAAGATACATAGCAGAACAACGTTTTCTACCAGCATTCTGTGTTTTTGCCTTTAATGCTGATCAGTTTATTTCTCTATCTCTGCTGAGCGTGTATTTGCATCCGCATCTTCTGAAATTATGATGTCACTCACACAGTATTTCTTCAGTCCCACAGTTAAAGTAGTTCTTCCTTTCGCTGCATGCAACAGGCACCAATTTCTGAGTCATTGCTAGGGAGTCTTCTTGTTATGCACAATTTATACTCCGCATCTCAACAGGTTCCACATAATTATAGACTTTGAAACAATTGCTCCTTCCATTCATGAAGCACCGACTGTATACTTGTCTTCTGCAGTTCTTTATCTATTATTATACCCTGTTGAGATTTATGAGACTTCTAGAATGTAGAACTGCAATGCGTCTCTGATACTAGAGGACATCTTCATTAAGTTCTATTCAAATGCATTGTTCTTAAACAGTGTATCGCGTATCTCAAAAAGCTACAGCGTATTTCAAAACAAATGCTCACATATGATGTGTAAATCAATATACTGAATTATCAATAACCAACCTAAAGCTAGCCTTGTACATTTTAACCAACATTTTCTGAACGAGATGTTTGCGATATCCGAGACATACCTCCAAGAGATATAAATCAGATGTCATTGTTAAGCTAAAAAAAAAACCGACTATAAAAAATACTATACTACAGCCTCTATTTCAGTGCTGTTACAAAAATAATAAAATTCAGTTAACTCTACAGAACATTATTTGAATTTGATATTCAAAATAACTTGCCCAACACTAATATCGCGAGTAAAATGTATTATCATTGTATAATCATTGTTGCATAATTGTCATTGAAAATCTGCTTAGGATAATGAATTACTTGTGTTTCACACGAAGACTGAAATATTGTATCAACACTTGGCCATCACTGTATTCCCAAATTTCTAAAACTGGCTTCATGGAATTACCACGTTAACAAACTTTCAAAGCACCTTCAAAGCACATTGTCTCACGGAATAGAATGAAGTTATAAGAAAAAATTGTACACATATCTCATTTTGTTGCTGAACCTGAGTGCAACTGTACTAACATTTTATAAAAATCACCTCGGAATCGCTAACATGCCATTTGAATTTTTATTTTTATTGTCCTCATCATTAGAACTATTATTAATATCCTTATTACTATTATTATTATCATTATAACTATAACTGTTCCCACATTGCTATTATTATTATCGTTAGAACTATTATTAATATCCTATTATTATTATCATTGTAACTGTTACTCCAGTTAACTGCACAATTGTGGGATTCAATAATAACACATGAATTGTGACCAAGAGGGGTGCGGGAGGAGGCGACCGTAAGGCCAGTTACTGAAAATCATGGATCATAAGACAGATGAAGAAGCATACTTGTTGATTTCAAACAGCTCTTCAAAATACATGTTCTCAATGAACGAAGGTCATCGTCAAATCGACTAACCACTTGATTGTACGTATAACAACGCACCATGAGCAAAAGGAGAAAGACAAAAGGTCTCTCCTCAACAAATAAATGTGGTAAAAACGATTTATCATGTCTACATAGTTGGACAAGGACACAGTTTTCAAGCTTTCATGGCTTGATGACTTTTCATCAAGTTTTTATCAAATCTCCATCGCTTGATTACTTGTCATCAAGTTTTCATCCAATTACAATCACTCTTAAGGAGGATACTATCTGGAGGCTCCAATATTGCACAACTATTACCACTTGCAGCTAATCGATCATGATTGAGGGTTGAAATTAAAGAGATTTGATTGGACTCTAGATGCATCAGACGAAAAATGAACTCTATGAAGCAAGAGTTACAGCGTCTGAAAACAAACGGAATTACCAGAACCTCTACGATGTCTTCTCAGTATGTCTAGTAAAACAGACGATGTATCTGTATGAAGACCTACATAAACCCTTCATTCATATCAGCATTGATATACAGCTTGCTGCCCAACGCGGAACAGCATCGCAGTGACAATCCTCCCACTGCGAACTGTATTCGCAGATTAGCTAACAGATTGTATTCGAATGGCTCGTTGCACCCTACACGATCGGATGCAGGGCGTTAGTACCAGATTCCTACGGTACGAACGGACGAGGTACTCGAACAGTACCACGAAGATGAAACGTCAAGCATACGAAACGTCGCTCGCCGCTTAGGGTAAATAATGTTAAAAATATTCAAACGTTAATATTAAAGTATCCTTCTTCATTTATTAACAAATTTCTGTTCTCACCGGTCAGAAGTCGTAAACAAGATAACGCGCGGTCCAGAAGACGCAAATAAAATAAGCTCGAAACAATAACGCAATTCAGAGATAAGCAGAGTATAAAAACAGAAGCAGGCAGGCGCGAGCCAGATTCAGAGTTCAGATTACTAACGAGCCAGATCGTGTTGCTCCGGAGTCGAATATCGAGATCTTTCTATCAGTACTTTTGTGACAATAAGCATTTACATTGTAAAGTAGTGCGGTCTAGAAATAAAGTTTTTTTAAAACCCAAACGGAGCCTTCTTGTACGTAACGTTGTATTTTATTTCAGTATGCATCGCTCTGCGGTGCATCGAATTCTTCAAGAGAACCAGATGCACCCGTATAAGTATGTACGGGTGCAACATCTAAATTCTGGGGACTTTTCATAGCGCTTGCAATTTTCAAAATGGATCTTGGGGAAATCGAGCGGAATCCGTCGTTCCTCTCATGTGTTTTGTGGACAGACTTTACAGGAGAGGAGTGCTTCAATGCCCACAATTCACATGTGTGGGACGTCGAGAATCCGCTCGCGATTCGCCATGCTCTGCGCGAAAGCGCTGGTCTGTCAACGTATGGGCTGGCATTTCCGGGGATTTTATCGTTGGACAGTACATTCTGCCACACAGATTGGATGGTCCTTCGTACAAAATTTTTGTAAAACATGTTCTTCCAACTTTTTTGGAAGATATTCCATTAGAGATTTGCAAGAACATGTTCTTGCAACATGATGGTGCGCCTACTTATTATGCCGCTAATGTCAGGTCGTACTTAGACGAAGCCTTCCAAGACAGGTGGATTGACCGGTTGCGTGACCCCCCAAGATCCCCGAATTTGAATCCGCTAGACTTCTTTTTCTGGGGATTCTTGAAGGTATGATAACTATTCACAATTAACGACTGATAACAATTCAAAAATTAACAATTTGCATTTTATTTTAATTGTTGAAGAATGAGGTGTACTGTGATGACGTGACCACGCCGGAGGAGGTGGTAGCCTGCATCCACGGCGCGGTTGCCAAAATCACACCTGACTTATTGCGGCGGGTACAGGACAATATTGTAAAGAGATTGCGGACGTGTGTTTCTACTAGGGGTGGCCATATTGACCCACTCCTGGTGTAACTTCCGGCAGTAATCGGTCCCTTTCGGGGCCACTCATTGGATCATACGAAGTTGTAACGAGAGTAAAGCTGCATGTTTATCGCTAAGCTTGAGTTCAATTTAACAAAAGAATGTAGTATTAGTATCTTTGAAATCTGTATTCAAATATAATATCCCAATGCAGGGGGATCACAATAGTTTAACAGATCACAAGAAACGGAGTTGTACAAGGAATGGCAGTATATTGCACTTGAGGGACATTTAGTATCACAAAATAGATACTCTTGAACAGAGTTTCACATCTGATTCGAGTTCCATGAAAAGACTCAGTCCCATCGAGTAAAGAGACTGCCTTTTTCGATAAATCAAATTATTTTTGTATTTCTAGACTTTTATATTTCAATATCCATTATTCTCATTTTCATACTTCAAGAGACTTTTAGTTTCTTTAAATGTTGCATCTTGTATCATATTGAAAGCGCACATTCAAAAGCATAGCCAGTATTGATTTATGCACTCCCCTCCATCGTTGTACCTCCAAGCACCTGCAACCCACAGTTCGCCAGTGATTTTTGTTGGAAGCAGACTGCATACTTGTGCTCCGCGAAAATAATATTAAACATCAATATTGTCAATGTGAAATTTTTTGTTAACTTTGCAAAATTCTTTATGGAAACATACATATACCTTATGGTGATGATCTCGTTTCAAATCTTCAGTAGTTTGTCTAGAACAGAAAATTTAGCATTGCCGAACAGACATTAAGTCGATACATATTTATGGGTGATGAAGTTGAAGGAATTTGCTCTTCCCACCACACAGAGCTTGTAATTTTATCATCACATTAGTCTTATTATGATAAACACATGTTGTTAAAATTATATATTTTGTAAATAATATTTTTGACAGTGTTAATAATAGTAAAGATACTTAATGAACATTTTCACTTTTTATAAGACAAAATTTATTACAAGAAAGTCTAGGAACAAAAAGGTTCCATAAATATTGCAAAATTAGATTGGTCTTCAACAATTATAAATTCGTGAAGACATATTTGTATGACGCATTACAAAACTTTTTCGGTCAAATCAGACAGCATGGTGAGAGAAATACTAATCCAACTTGCAGTGTCTTTCATGAATATTATCTGGCACTATTCTTAAATCCATATTCGAAATTGATACATGTGCAGATAATAATTACAAATGTGAAGAATTCAGCAGCTTTCTATTTTATTTGAAAAAGTGTCAACTTTTCCAAATTTATTGATGAATGAAAATATTTCCATTTCTCTAAATTATAATGTCCCAACAGTCTCTGAATGCAGAAATTGGTTCAGTATTCAGTCTTGTAAACAATATTAGTTGTAAATTTTGTTTGATTACAATATATGAAATTGATGCACTCATATTTTTACACTTAGTATAACAATTTATGTTCATTATTTTTTTTCTTAGTTAAGCCAAAGGCAATGAATGTTATTATTTTATTTTTCTACGAACATTTATTTATTTTGCGAAAGGGAACGACGATGAACACGTTTTTGAGTTTTTTTGTATGGGTGATGAACGTTCATTTATAGGTATATGCCCAACCTGGCCATTAAGTCAGTTTAAATACACCAAAAGTGTAATTATAACGATAACACACGTGTGGGAAAACATGAAAAAGTATTTAGTTTTCGCACACGTTTAGTCGTAAATACTGAAAGTGGTTGTGTAAAAAACGTAAATACAATATTTATATACTGAATCATTGATATGGTTGATGAAAACAAAATCTCATTACCTTCTAGAGATTATCACAAATTCCTTTTTCCTTTCTCAGAACGTCGTGTCAAGTAAGTAATGAACATACAGTATGTGGTGTGATATGTTCTAAGAATTGTAGTTGAACGCTAGTAAACACAAATTACAATTCAGCTTGTAAACTATAATTCAGCAGTTTGAAAGATAAAGTTAGACGCGAGTATCACATCTGATGCTAAGCGTGAGTGTAACCGTACTAAAAGATTGTAGAATCCGCACATAATGTGAAAAAATTCAAAATGCAATTTTTATGTTCTTAAATAACAAATTATGTTGCATAAATAGGTTTTTAAAAATTTGATTTGTTTAACATATTTTGAAAAATTGTTAATAAAGTGTTTAAATTATTTTATAAATTATATATTACGTGGATAAAATATACGGATAAAGTATTTAATTTAATTGAAGTAATAAAAAATATATGACTTCATTTAAAAAATAAACTGGACCTCCAAAGGCCTCCCACATTTTCTATTTATGTAAAACATAATCACGTTATATTATGTCTCCCTCTAACTTTAGTTTAAATCCTTCTCTTATTAAAGTCTGTAATAACTATTAGTTGCAAGTTATTGAAGTGGTTCCAATTACTTTTAAATTAAAGACAGATTTGTATTAAAAAAAATTAAAAAAAGATATTAGCAGAAAAGTGTCCATATTAATAAATGATTGTATGAGCCATCAAGTATTGAAGATACATAGATCAAGAAATAATAGAAAAAAAAGAAGTTACTTTTTAATAAATAATTGTTTACATTTCACTAATATCTGTTTTTGTAAATATGTAAATGAATTTTAGTTTAGATCTATAGTTATTGAACATAAATTTTTATGAAAATAAAATAACATTTTGAAAAGAATGTGTCAGTAACTAACATAATGCATAAACAAATAGATTTGTGGTACTTCCGAGATGAACAAGTTAAAAAAGAGATTAAATATAAACAATTCATCGATTTAAAATATAAATCAGACTCAAAAGAAAAATATAAATGCAAATAAATATTTTTTTTAGATTAGTAGACTGTGAAAGTTTATACAAATACATAATTTAAAAAATGGATAATAAAAATGGGACTTCAACAAAAATATGTTTCATCATTAAAGAATTTAAAAAATACAGTTTGTTTATTTCACATATTTTGCATCCTACATGTACAGTATGTTTGTTTCAAGTCTCTCGTTACTACATACTATACTATCTGACCTTGCAACGTCCTTAAAAAGCCCTATGCTGATAATTTTTTAATTTTTTAATGGGATAACATTATTATAATAATAATAATGATAATAATAATAATGTACAATATTATATTATATTTGTATATTGAACAAACAGAATAGTACAAATTTCTGAGTAGTTTCTGGTATGCAAATGCTTACTTATAAAATGTTATCTTACTCATAATTTCAACCCTGCATATGCACTTACCAGTGTGCATGTAATTACATAAACTTCCACAGTCTACTTATCAGTATATATAATATAGTAGAGTTTGATTAAGCGTTCGGATTTTATTGCAAAAAAGGCTGGAGCTGATAGGAAATGAGGGAAAAAATACTGTGTACGTCTTACAAGAAGTTTTTCCAAAAATATAGTGGCTGATGACTTCTTGTTAGACACACACAATAGGAAAGCATTTCTGTTCTGAACTGAGGACGCTTAATCAGACCCTACTGTATGAGGAGTATGTAAAAATTTCCATTATATGTAAAGTAATTTACTTTATTAATATTTTATATCCAACAGAATATTTTTCATCAAAATATTTTTTGATAAAAATTGTATACTATGATAAAATTTGTATTCTTAAAGTAGATATATCATCAACAAACCACTTTAAGTTAATAATAATTATTATTATTATAAAACCATTTTTGAAACTTGTATAGTAATTATTACTATAATTATAGTAATAAGTGCCCATAAAATTATTTGTTGCAGTTTTGCTTCACTAATTAAATAAAAGAAATATACAATGATAAATATCAATGATTCTCATTTTCACCTAAATTAAAAATGCACTAACACATTCGCAGCTTCTGTTCTAAATTTTTTTTTATTTTATTCTTACACAAATTTATAAATTTGATACTGCATTTGCAGGTTTCCAACACGAAAAATTTTTTTAAATTTCAATAACAGTATTTAGATAACTGGAGAAGTTATTATTCTTCTCTGATAGAGATATTTTAAGATCTTTAAATTAAGAAATTAATTACCCTTCACAGCCTGCAAATGTGCACCAACTTTTAAATTTCTTTAACCAAACTACTAACTGCGAATGTAGTAAAAAATATGGTTTGTTGCATATTATTTTTCATAAACATATACAGATACCCTGTGAGCCCTTTAAGAGAAGTTCAAGTCAACACAAAGAAAGAGAATACTGGCCATAGCCACTGTCTCTCCTTCTAATATATAATTAGATGGAGAGATTTTTATATAAAAAATATAACATGGATATTGAATAAAATATTCAGTATATTTATCCCCTCCTTGCTTTCCAATTATTTTCTTCTGTACCTTTATAATGTGCGATTAAAATAGCACCACTGTGGGACCTGCCCTTCCGTGTTGGCTTTCAGTCTTTACAGTATGTATAAGGACACACAGTTTATCTGTATAACTCTATACTTTTCATACAAATTGGCCAACATTAACATATTAAATCAAAAATCATATTACAAATTGCACTTATATACCTCAAGTCATTATTTACATTTGGCCAATAGAAATTTTTGCATATCCCTAATAGTATCTACAGATTCAAATAAAAAATATGCTAGACTAACTTATAGTATAATTCATTACAAAATAGGAAATGACTCAATAAAAGTTAAACTGTTTCAGCATATATCATCTTATTTACCGTCATTCCAAATAACGACATGTCAGCTCAAATGTTTCGCTTACAATTAATCCCACGAATGAGTCTCAGCAAAAATTTTTTTCTGGTCCGATCCACGAGCAGCATTAGCATCCAGAGGATTCTTCTGCTTCCTGCGCCGTTTTCCTGTGTATATAACAAGAAATTAATATTATCTTCAATGACAAAACTAAATAACAAATGCAAATATATATTTCTATACAGTAAAGGTAAAATCCAAGATATGAGGAATATTTATATATTTTAAGGTAAAGAAAGTTTTTAATATTTTAGGCTAGTTTGAATCAATCACATATAATCCATATGTAACATACTATGAAACTAATTTAATTATATTTCTGAAAAAAAATTTTAAATATTAATTACAAGAAAATGAAAATAGTTTCAAACGAGATTTTTGATATTAAACTATAATACAATAAATTTTTCATTAAAAGAATTACTTAAATCTTTTACCTATATATTTGATATTTATTTCGTTGTTTATCCAGAACTGATGCACTTGATGCATGTTTTATCCGTACCCGTCTTGACCGTTATACAAATCTTTTTAAAAAAGCGTTATCCTACACCCCCTCGTTTTACATTGAATATAAAAAATAACCGTTTGTATTTTATACCTATCCTATTAAATCTATAATATATTCAAGATTATTTTGCTAAGAGCACAGAATTTAGAGGAACAATCAGAAAATAACTATTCAGAATAATTGAAATGAAAATGTAAAGAAACGATGCGACAAAAAGACGCACAATTGATCTACTTCTTAGTTAGTCGCGTACATAATACATACAAGAGGTAACAACTTCTGTGCAAAATAAATTAGAAACTTCGCGTTACCAACTTCAATCTTTACATCAGTGATTCTCAATCTGTGGATCATGAATTCTAAGAAGGTAGTAAAGTATTTATTTTCTTAGGCGTCACCGCGGTTATTTTAAATCAACAAACTTATTTATTTTAATATATTTGTATTGTCATTTCATTAGTGATGTAATGAAATTTGGAATGCATTCTTCTTAAAACAGGATGTTTTTTAATTGCGCATATTCATGACTAAGTTTATGACATAAACTTGGTTTATAAAAATTGCTTTGAACTCTATACTAGGACGAAAAATTGCACTTTCTTTCCTAAATGAAAAAAATTAAATTACAATAGTTAAATGTAAAAGTTCAAGTAAATTAAACAAATGCTTTAATGACTCGCACTGGGTTGCTGCAAAAAAATTCTACAATATCTTATAAAAAGTTTTAAAAGCAGCTGATCACTCAAAAGCTCTCCCAAACCTAGAAATATTTATTTCCTATTCAGAATTATATATTCTAAATTTCTGAACATGATCCACTTAAACGTGCCACTCATCAGAAGCAAAAAAAATTCCTCCCTGCTCTGAAACTAAGATAAAATGATGATCTGCTACATTTATATAAAATGTTTATCTGTAACTTATTATACAAGTTTACTTCTAAAAAAAATTAATGTACAGTGATTTATAATAAAAACTTATTACTACAAAAAGTTTATTTGTAATAACCTTTCTTTGTTTGAAGAAAGTGGGAGAAATAGTCTTATGAATACTTGAACCTAGTAATATAGAATTTCCAAGATATACCCTGATAAGTCCACTAAGACCTCCCCTCCCTGCCTACATGCCCATTTGCTTGTTTTAGAAGAAACATCTTATTTATACTAACTGGACTGCAAATGTTTATGCGTTTATACTATAGTGTGTAAAAGATATGTGATCTACTCAACACAATACTTTGTGACAAATAAAGAAAAAGTGTTTTATAAATAGAGATTGCTTAAATATAAACACTCAGATGATTATATAAGAAATATTAAGTAACAATTTTTAGTTTCTAGATATACAATTACAATGAAAACACTTTCTGCCGATTTCGTCAAAATAATAAAAATAAAGTCTGAGAGTCGTTACATTGCATGTATAACTTTGTTTTAAAGCTCTTTTTGAAAACAGTAATTCATTACAAACCGTTTCCGCTATTAGTGTACTGTAATATCCGTTGTTGAACAACTTCGCCACAAACAATCTCTTTTCAAATAACACTGAGAGGAATATTTCTTCTACCAACATTTAGGCATCCGGTGACGAATGTTTCTTCTTCGAATAAATTGAAATTTAAAAAATTTCACATTTACATTTTTGACCATCGATAATTACAGACAGATGTAATTCACTGACATTGTCATTTTCTCACAGGAAAGTCTATCATATTCGGTAGTATACGTTGACTGATAAGTTCATAAACTGTCCATTATAAAAGATGACGATGACCATTATGAAAAATCCAGCACTGAAGGAAATATATGTATTATATTATAAATTATTGTAAATATATTTTTATTTATGTAAATATGTACTGTAAGTTATAATAAATAATATTTTTATATTATGTTAAAATAAACGCTTTTTTACAGAAGTAAATTTGTATCATAAGTTACTGTAGATAAATTTTTCTTGAAAAGAAACTTGTACTATGAATTATTAAATAAAATATGTCATATATTTAGATATGTGTAGCTCCTAGTTACGTTAATCGATTTCGATCAAACTTTTTACTTTAGATATTGTATTTTGAAGGTTTGGGATAAGCTTAAGTCAGGTTTGATATGTCTGCATTAAATTTCACGTTGTCTTATCTGAAATTGACAGAAATTATTTTTTAAAATTTAAAATAACCAGTTTAATTCATAGAAGCCATGACGGAACGTGGTCACATAAAAATGTAATGTAACCAATAACGTCCATCTTTTTAAGTACATTATATTTTTACATATTAGAAATATATTACATTTGTTATTCCAACGTATACTTAGAAAAATTAATGCATTAAATCAGAATGCAACGCATAAACACATACATTTTCGTTTAACAATATAGCCCATTTCAAGCTAAATTCAATGACCTACAATATGTCAGTCTTTGAAGGTGATTCAAAATCATTTGCGATTCTTTAAGATATGCTAAAAACATGTTTTTTAATTGCTGAGTAAAAATATGAGATAGAATACCTTTTTTATCAACATCTCGAAATTTAACACCAGCAGATATTTTCTTACGGAACTTTGTACAAGAATAAAAATCTTAAAATTTTTAAATTTCTAAAATCACATTGTCCAGAAGTTAGAAAATAGTTCATATAAGTTGAAAACCACTGTATTGTGGTAATAGTTAGTAATTACTATAATCTTTATTTAAGCATATTTAAGTGTTTAGTATGTAATAACAACTTATATCATCTTAGTGGAAAAAATTCATAAAATTATTTCCTGTCAATAATAATGAAATAACTTTTACATATTTTAAAAGTACAAAGCATCTCCAAAGTTAAAAATGTGACATTATTTATCAAATCTTTTTTTGAACATAAAGTGTTAAAGAAACAGTTACAGATTAATTCGTTCTCAGTTCAAGTTATGTACTAGATTTTTCTTCTGACAATTACAAAATTGAATTCGCGTTCATTAATATATTGGGCTATCGATGTGATTTCATGGTCACAAGTCCCAAACATCGTTTTGGATTGTACGTGAAGATAGGAGTAAAACTATAATAATAATAATAATACCTGTAGCTATTTGCCACCCATCGTCGGCCGGTTCTGGTTTCACGCCGTTCATTGGCACAGAGGTCTTCTCTTTTTTCACTGGAACAGGCCTGCGATAAACGTAAAAATATTATTAGTTATGTAAATCCCCTTTTTTATAAATACGATAGTTGAACAACTACAGCTAATATTTTGAAGTTGATTTATGTATATAATTTTGCAGAATTTAAGCCTATAATTGTTTAAAAAAATAGAGGTTATGCCGAAACCTTTTTCTTCGTCACGTTTTTGTTCGTCTATTACACTTTGGAAGTAAATCTTTAATTTTTTATGAAGTTTTTAAATCTTTGTGTCAGTCAATGTTCATACGACGGACATGACATCCTGTAGAACTGTTTTTTTTATTACATCGGAGAATAAAGTAAATTTTGTCCAAAATGAATCACATACTTTCACTACTGATGTCGCTTTACTGAATCATGTCGAGTAATTATTCTAACTTGGCTCTTTAAAAGCGTTTGTATTATTCAATAACAATTACGGTAATCGAATAAAACGTGTAAGTAAAAGACAGTAAGGTGATCAATTTTACAAACTTAAAATTGGGTTGCAAAATAAAGAACTGATTTATTGAAATTCAAATATCAAATTCCAATTCCAGGTTACGAATAGTGAGATCTTGAGAAGAACATAGATTGCAAAATATATACACACATAAATACTTACTCAACTGGAGATAATTTTCTTTTGCGTTCTCCTGTAGTGAGGTTCACTTCTGACGTTGCTTGATATTCAGCATACCTTTTAATCTGATATACGTTTGTTTTACGTAGATTCTTTACTACTGCGTTAACTTGTTCACGACGATTTAATCCTACGTACGCTGTCGTATCGGATAACCATGACACATGAACACCTCCTATAATATAATATAAATTTTTGAATGAAATAAGTCAGTAAAAATGAAAAGTAGATTATGGTATAGCACTTACCGAATGGACTAAATAACTGACATATATCATTAAGTTTCCACTCTTTTGGGAATGTTAAATGGAACACGTGATCTCTACTAGGGTTTGCTAAAATTAAATAGCATTAATATTACTAGCAATAAATTCTATTTACAATTTAAATGTGAAAAAATAATATAATCGCACTTACGATCATCTCCAGTGAGATTTATATATGGAATATCTTTTAATCTTGCTATAACAAGTCTATAATAATATGAAAAATTATGTACTGCCTAAAATGCACATCAATTAATAACACAGAAAGTATAACTACACTCACTTATTTAAAAACGGTTCAAGTAGAGGCGAATCTGATAGGACTACTGAAATTTCAGGTGTTTGTAAAGAACCTGAAATAATCAACTTACAATAAATAGGGTATTTTACAAAAAATTATAAAATGGTTAAATAAATATAAGTTACTAACCTAAATAATTTGATAATGCAATGAAACATATTCCAGTAATATACGCATCATAACCAGCCTCATGACATTTTTCTGCTAACATAGAATAACCTCTGCCATCAATAGATTCTACTTCTGGAACTTTAAACGGGGATTTACTAATTGTTTCTAGTAATATATTTAAATTTGACGATGGTACGCACTCCCTGAACTGCTGTGAATGACAAATTATTTTCGTATCTAAAACTCTGCAAAAATAATAATTATTTCATTATTCAACATGTATATTATAAGAATGAAAATAGGTGAACAAGAGATTATTACTTAGGGAACAGGCTGTGGACGAGTGCCTTAAATTCCAAATAATTTTCTGGTAATTGTCCGAAAAATTGATGGACTATATGACAAAGGTCTAACAACATGTTATGACCAACTATTAACTTCCCCTGCAATGGAAATATTTACTATACGTTATATATTGTTTGCTTAACGTTCGAAACCGTTGAGTTTATCATATCAGTTGTAGTACAGATGCAATAATAAGTTAACTATTATTTCATTAACAATGAAACTTACAGAGTCTGCAATTTTTCTCATAAGCATACTTAATCCAACAGCTTGTTGAATCTCTAACTTTTCTTTCTCCTTTCTCTTAATTTCTTTCTCTTCCTCTTCTTCTTTGGTTCCTAATCTTTGTACTACAAGAGTGCACCCAAAATTTTCTAATCTATTTTCAACTTTCAACTTATTTGGCCATCTTATTCTTACTTCTTGATGTACGAGTCGTCTCATGTAAGCGTTACATTTTTCTATCGTCAATTCTTCAGTCTCAGACTCGGTAAATTCTTGTATCCTCGAACTAAAGTGATCCACAGTTAAATTTAAGTCGATTTATCAGAACATAAAAATTCCTAATTATTTTACCAAATATCTTCAATTTGTGGTTTATCATCGTCTGTAATTGGTACTAATTCTGGTGTCTCCTCTTTGAGCTTTTGCCTTTTCTCTAAACGTTTTGTTAACTTTTCCTCTTCGGTCATAGTTAAATAAGGAATACCCAATTTGAAAAGTTTATTAAAATCAAATCCTTGATTAGCCAGAAATGATAAGCATGACGTTTGACACATAAATCTACAATCCGGAGCTGCACAATTTAAGGGCCGTGGAAAAACGTAAAAGTTATATGATCGTTGATTGTACCTTTAAAAAAAAGGAAACAATATGAAATTGTTGTTAATAGAAAACTTATTTTTCCATGGTTGAATATAAGTATCAACTACTGATATATTACTAAATACTGATGCAGTTAGCATAACTTAATAGTAATTTTACCATAACTCATACATTAATTTTACATTTAAAAAATTTAGTTTCAATAAGAACAAAAAAATGTAAACAAGGAACAAAAGCATACTTATTCGCTTCTTTATCAAATGTAAAAACAGAAAGGCCAAACTGTACAAGAAGAAAGTCCATTGAGCCTGCTCTCAATTTTGCGTAATACTGAGCAGGTGTATCAAAGGCACCAGGATCAGGTCCCGAATGAAGGCCTGTAAATTCTCCATCAATTCCAATGAATGATGCATTCTTTAAAACGTCGTCCAATTCTATCAAGACTTCTTGAAAATCTGTGAACAATTTAAAAAGTATTAAAGTTTAAGACTTATGAAAGAAAAACCATTTAATAATAAATACTAATACATTATTAGTAAAAATTATACTTTTAACTTTTCATTAAAAAAAAATTTACTATCTGCAAAATGTTAGTTTAGATTAAAAATATTGTCTTCATTTAAAAAGCATTTCAATAAATACTTGTTCGCTGTATTTGTTTCAATTTATAAATGGTTATCATCATTACATTTTGCTTTCAGAGAACATATAAAATATAATCTTTTAAGAATTTTAGATTAACACTACACTTACAAGATACAGATATAAAACTTTCTAATAAAAATGTGACAATAACATGAATCATAACAACATGAAAAAAAGTATCATTAAAAAATATTTTAGTTGTTCTTTACAAGTATGAACATTTCTGTATATTTTATTTCAGTAAACAATACAAATAAACCTAGAATCTCAGTAGTAAAACTAAGGCATAAGCAGAATTTTTATAGCATATAATTCTGTCCACAGTTATCATGATGACCAGAAATATAAATGATATGTTTACTTTTAGTATTTACTCACTCGAAGAAGTTACTTCCATCTTTTTAATCTTGTTATTACCAACACTTAATCTCTACTGGGCATCTCCAATTTTCTATTTGGAACTGGAATTGGACGCGGAATCTATTAGAATTTGTGGGAACTCTTCAGTTCTAGAGGTTTTGTACTTAACCATATTAAATTGGAAGATTAGTATGAAAACTCTATCAGAAAAGATTGTACTGCAAATGCATTGCCATCTACAGTACAAAGAACGTACATTCGAGTATAAATCTAGCTTTCTTGGGAAAATGGAGGAACACCTGCAACATCGTAAGCGTATCGATATGCAACATACAAAAAGTATTTGCAAAATCGATAAATATTAAATTGTTAGTGAATACATGCTTACTAAAAACAGGTAGCTTTATTGTGTATTTTATGTTTGAGGAAGAAACTATACTTTCGAAAACTTCCATGCTACAAACTAATTGAAATTTTGGGAATGGATTTGTTTTTAATAAAAATGATGATTCCGGGAAGGATTTTTGGTAACTCAAGACAAAATTTTGCATCATCTGGATGTCACTTCCTATTTTACCGACACAATTATTATCGGTAGGAATACTTGAGACATGAAACAGGGATTGATATTACATACAAGTTAGTTACAAGTTCATTCAATACAATTTTCTTAATTTTTTAGTATAAAGCTTCAAACTCATAGTAAATTCATTTTTCTGACTTCATTGTGTTCGCAAAATTGTTTGAGAACGTCAAAAATACACAAGAAGTTTTTGTGGAAGAACTTAACTTTTTATTTCCATAGTTCTATGCTTCACTACTGGATGGCAACTGTTGTACCATTTTATAAGAACATAGAAGCACATTTTAGAAATAAGAGCTATATTTCTTGTTTTTCGAATTTATTAATGTAGTCATTTTTAAATTTCGCAATTCAGGAATTTCGTATTCTGCAAATTTATTAATTTGAAGCTTCAAAACTTTAGACATTAAGCAGCTTCGAAGATTTATGACTTCGACATTTGGTACCTTGGCTATTTGGAAACGTGGAAACTTAGATTTAGTAATTTGTTACCTTGATGATTTGCAAACTTGGAAATTCTTTAATTTCTAAATTTGAAATGTTATTTGGAAATTTCAAAATAAAGAACTTTGTAATTTGGTTCCCTGGGTATTTAGAAATTTACATATGCAAAAATTAGTTGTTTGGTACTTTGACTAAATTTAAAATTTAGTATTTTAGTATGTTAGTAAATGAATATTTAGAAAATTTTTAATGCACTATTTGGTACTTTAATACACTATTTGGAAACTTGGTAGTTTTTAAACACATGAATTTCATACTGTTATTTAAAAATTTGATAATTTAGAGGTTATCAAATTTAGAAATTAAATAATATAATATAAGATCTTGAAAATGTATAAACTCTTATACAAATCTATATATAGAAATATATATATATAAAATACAGAAATTTTAATACTGGAATTAAAAGATGAACAGTATATCTATCACACTCCCTTGCACCCTCATACAGAATTTTTGCCCAACCACCCATTCCTGCCCTAAATTACCTCGACTCTCAAGTCCTACTTTCTTCCATCTAAATTACATAAAAAAAATTCCTCGTTAAAAACCAATGACGTATCGCGAAATAACCTGTGCAACGCATTAACGTGGAATTTATCCTTCCACGAGTTTAACTGGAACGTCGTATATCCGTGAGAAGCATTTACAATATTTTTCAGAGGAGCTTGCCAAACATCCTGATGGTGCACGTTTGGGTGCACATGGATACCCTTGATGCACACGAATATGCGTACGTTACGAACGATCGATAGCTCGCTCATCCGTCGCTAAAAGGGTTAATGATGCCTGGCGTGCATAAATGGTGCTCACGGACCCGGACAAATGAAACGTAATGAGCGGATCGCTGGTACATAGCGGCGTGTCACGATTGCGAGAGTCGTAATAATGCCGTGCTATGGACGTGAATCTGTGTGTGCCACATTGTGGAACCATGGGACGCGTGAATTCGAACAATACGATTAGCGGCTCCACCGTTACTCCCCGCCCTCAATGTTGCATATCGGCTGCATTCAAGTTATCGACTCAAAACCTTTTCACTGCGTGGCCATTTACGCGAAACGAAAGCAGCCAGTTTGTTATGTGGTACCTTACGGTGTATTTATTGTTCGCTACGACCTTGCACTGACGTTTTGTAGGGTCAATATGGAACTTTTTAGGTTTTTTTGCGGTTTTGTTCAACTTTGGGTTGAATATAGAGATGGTGATGCTTTGTGACGTAGAGGAGAGAGAGGTTTTACAGAAATGAAATTTTCAGTGCTTGGTTGTTAGAATTTTGAATAATTATGAATACAGGAAGTTTTGGATTTTAAAATTCAGAAATTTACCAATTTTGGTATTTAGGAATTTAGGAATTTGGGACCTAGGGAATTTGGGACCTTGGGAATTTGGGACCATGGGAATTTGGGATGGGTTGAGCGAATGAAACAAATTTCAATGGTCAAACGCGTACACATTGCTTTTAACCCGTCGAAAAAAGATCTCATCTTTTTGGATCATCGTGCATGACGTCCAACGAATAACTGTAAACGAAGTGCTGAGTGGTAAAATATAAACAAACTGTTTAAATCGTTCACTGAATCAAATGCGATTCAATGACAAACGTATGGTTGTGTTACTTATGCGAACAGATATGCGCACTTTATTTCCATTGGTAACATTTAGTTTTCATACTTTACATCGTTTACCACTTTGTCTCTTCAATGTGATACACTATAGAGTTTTTAGTAGAATGTATGATTTGTACGTCTGATAATACTGCAATTGGTGATAATCGCTGAAGAGATTTTTTCTTAGATAGTATTTTTTTATTTTTAGTCAGTTTTATTGGCAGCAAGCAGATTTTTGTTTACTGGGTGAATTTGAGAAGGTTGAAATTTGGATATTTAAGAATTTAGGAATTTGGGACCTAGGGAATTTGGGACCATGGGAATTTGGGACCATGGGAATTTGGGACCATGGGAATTTGGGACCATGGGAATTTGGGACCATGGGAATTTGGGACCATGGGAATTTGGGACCATGGGAATTTGGGACCATGGGAATTTGGGACCATGGGAATTTGGGACCATGGGAATTTGGGACCATGGGAATTTGGGACCATGGGAATTTGGGACCATGGGAATTTGGGACCATGGGAATTTGGGACCATGGGAATTTGGGACCATGGGAATTTGGGACCATGGGAATTTGGGACCATGGGAATTTGGGACCATGGGAATTTGGGACCATGGGAATTTGGGACCATGGGAATTTGGGACCATGGGAATTTGGGACCATGGGAATTTGGGACCATGGGAATTTGGGACCATGGGAATTTGGGACCATGGGAATTTGGGACCATGGGAATTTGGGACCATGGGAATTTGGGACCATGGGAATTTGGGACCATGGGAATTTGGGACCATGGGAATTTGGGACCTTAGGAATTTGGGACCCTGGAAATTTGGGACCTTGGGAGTTTAGGAATTTAGGAATTTGGAACCTTGAGAATTTGGGACCTTGGGAATTTGGGATCTAGGGAATTTGGGACCTTGGGAATTTGGGACCTTAGGAATTTGGGACCTTAGGAATTTGGGAATTTGGGACCTTGGGAATTTGGGACCTTGGAAATTTGAGAATTTAAGAACTTAGGAACTTAAAAATTTAAGAATTCACAATAAAATGCAAGTGTCAGTTTCAAAATCCCAAATGTTAAAATTATTAAATTATTAATCTTCCATCGTATTAAATTTATAAATTTTCAAATTCCCGTTGAATTCAAACACGTAATTAGTACATTCATTGTACATATAGATTGCAACCTGTTCGATCTTCTGCGGACGGTCTTCCCATCGCTGGTTTATATCCTTCGTGATCACAAATTAGTTATGCTCATTATCAGCTATCACTGCTATCGACCTCCATTGTTTATTGATTCGCAGACAATGAGGAAGCTGACGCAAAGTTCACCCTAGGAGGCACCACCAGCATATACATCAACTATGGTTGCAACTTAGAGTTTATCGATCACATGAATCGATTATTGAGATTGATATACGGCGGAGAAAGAGGAAAATAATTCTAATTTTTCAATGAAATTCTAGTCGTTTTCTTCGTGTTTAACACTAGAACTACTGAAGCAAATGTTTCATAAGTTTCTTCCTTTAATTTACAAAATTTATTAATTTATTTTTTTTTTTCAAATCTCTGTTGATTTTCATCAGGGTAAGGAATCAGTTTATCGTTTGTTTATTTCATTTTTTAATATCGTATTATTATTCACTGTTTAGTGTTATAAACGTTATTCTGATTTATAGGGCGCACCTTTTACAATGGTTGTAAATTAAATTATCGAAAAAATTCAGTTTTATTGTGTACTTACGAGTTTTTTAAGAATGCAGAGAAAAAACAACTCGTCAATAAAGGATTATTTATTTGAATAAAATTTGGATGTTCAACGTCATGTCGTAATCATTTAAACACTTCTAATATTTAAATTTTTACAAAAACTACATAAACTACTTAAACTACGTACAGTAATATAAACTTTATAACTATACATATACATACTGTACTATACATAACTACATATACATAAACTATACATACTGCATTAAATATACATATAAACTACATTTGGATGTTCAAGGCGATGTCGTAATTATTCAAATACTTCCAATATTCAAATTTTTATAAGAACTATTTAAACTATATGAACTACATAAACTACACAAACTAATATAAATCACATAAATTACATAAATTACATAAATTACATAAATTACATAAATTACATAAAGTACATAAATTACATAAATTACATAAATTACATAAATTACATAAATTACATAAATTACATAAATTACATAAATTACATAAATTACATAAATTACATAAATTACATAAATTACATAAATTACATAAATTACATAAATTACATAAATTACATAAATTACATAAATTACATAAATTACATAAATTACATAAATTACATAAATTACATAAATTACATAAATTACATAAATTACATAAATTACATAAATTACATAAATTACATAAATTACATAAATTACATAAATTACATAAATTACATAAATTACATAAATTACATAAATTACATAAATTACATAAATTACATAAATTACATAAATTACATAAATTACATAAATT